ACTAAGTCCTTTCCCCGCCCACCTTCATTCTTTTCTTCACCATAAGGCTTTCAAATAAACCATGGTTGTCCGGCAATAAAGCATGGGTTTTGAACACTGGTGTTATGCTGCCAATAATGATGGTGATGACTCAGCAAACTAAAGGAGAAACGGTGCTCCTTTCGAGGAGTGAGCTTCATATGACGATAAGAAACAACGGAATCTCTGTAAAAATATATCTTCGTGCTCCCAACGAAACAGCAGGATAAGCTTGCAAGAAATGGCCCAGACATTCCAAACCAATCTTTAACCGGAACTATGGTTTGATAGTCAGTGCTATTCAGTACGTGCAAATATTCACACCCAAATCGTTTCGATGTATTAGGTTTGTGTAAAGTAGTTAAAAAGTTTAGAAAGCTCTAAAATGTCCTAGTAGCGAAGTAAACGGCTCTTAATAAATCGATCCTTTTAAACTGATTGGCGGTTAAGGAGACTAGCAGAAGGAGAAAACGAAAGGTCTGTTGAGTGGTAAACCCTAAGAGGTATTACTGTAGCAACAATTATGTTCGAGAATGATCAGAACGATAGCACGTGATGTGGCTGACGTACAATCGCTCTGTAACTTACTTTGCATCGTCCACCGATCACTCATGGCTCAATAGCATAAGACTAAACTAACAAAAAGAAGCTTCCGGATTCAAAGTTGCATTAAAATTCGCCAGATAATGATTATCAGTCTAGAGTGACTGCACTGGTAGGACCGTATTTCACTTTAAACCCCAAAATCCTTTCCGCACCTAGATCTTATTCAGTTCAACTCATATATGTCAGCAGTCTTTGTTTTGTGGCCGATCATTCCCCCTAAACTTTGCTTTGAGGATGACTGTTAGGAATGTTCTGAAATCCGTTAATTCTCAGCACTTCTGATTTTTATTGGTAGGACGCCGGCGCTTTTCCAAAGTTACCTATTATTTCATGTTCCGCAAGTGTGATTCGTTCGAAATCTGCTATTGAGAATTGTTTTATGTCTACCCTCCGAGGTAAGTGTGTCATTCCTAGGACAAAACTGAATTTTCGGAGGAGAGCCGTGGTGTTTATTGCTGGCCGCTGTATTGATCACTACATATGCCTAGGCATTTAATAAATTTACTTTGACAGTCACTGTGTTAGAAACCGAATAGAACAACAACCGCAGCAATAACTTACGAGTTCCTGTTATCGATTTCAAACTGAATTCCCCACGCGGCAAGGTCCTCTTGACACTGCCAGATGGTGTATAATCCAGTAAGGGTGAATTCTCTAAGTTACAGTCATTTGGAACAAATATTTTAGCTTTCCTAACGAATTGAATATCTGAAACTCTGGTCTTTATGGTATTACCTTAAAAGTGCTACACGATTCGTTTGTCTTAACAGATTATACGTTCCCGTAGTATACTTGATAACTATCTACATTTTGCGTCATTGTTCTCATATATATATATATGTATATATATATATATCCATGCTTTTGGACGCTGGACTACTTGCCAGTTGAAGCATGGTTGTTTTTCGGCCAGGCATCTAAGCAGAAAGTGTTGGTTGAGAGATCTTAGTGTCTACTTTTCTAAGTTTGTTCACTAGGAAATCTGTGCAGCTTACGCGCAGACCGGAGCTGCATGAATATTGACAATTTTATGCAAATTTACGGCATCACTTGGGTCAAATTGCTTGCTCCAAATGTAACCGCAGGCACACGACTGCTGCCTACCGATCCGTTGTCATCTCTGACCCACCATCATCATTTACCCAAGTACTACTTGTAATGAGCAAACCTTAGCCGCTCTAAGCTGATATCACCCCTTACCTTGGTACTTCGTGCCTGATTTTAAGAGACCACTCTCCCATTTTCCTCACGACTCTGAATGTGTAAACTCCTTGAAAAGTCCGCTACTAATTAGCTCCAGTGGTGGTTCATCGGGTGGGCTTTATTAAGTTTTTCAAGCTTGCCAGTCAACATGTAAACGTTTCGTCCCCGTTCAAGTTTAAATGCTCATTGCCAAGCTTGGAAAACAGATCGAATGACACCAAATCAGCAACGAATAAACGCCTCCAAGCTACCAAAATTGTGAAACACTAACAACGCACACTTCTGACGCTTTATTGGTAGACATTGCTTCCAAAACAAGATCGAAATAAAAATGCGGTATGCAGAATCTTCGTTATCTAGAAACGACAGCCTACAAACATCAGGCGATTCTGAAGCGGTTACTCTTTTTTTCAGTTTGTGTGGATCTCACTTCTCAGACTGTGACTTTTTTACCCGGCTGGGTGTCCAGAGAAGGCCGTTTGCGTGCTATTCGTTTATTAGCCTCTACAGTACTCAGTGCTGGCCGAAATGAAATCCGCTACTCGTTTCCAGTCATTTGTAACTCTGTTCCAATGAAAGAAACCTGTTATCAAAATCCTACCATACTTCCGTCAAGCACAACAAATTGAATTACTGCCTTAGTCATAATTGACCTCAGTTCGTCAACAGGATGCCGAACTTCAATGAAGGCTCGGCTCGCTAATAGTTTTAGTTTGGTCACAAGCCATCCATTAAAGCCTTGTACTCGCTATTTGTAACAATAATCTTCTCACAGTGGGCGTCGTTGAATTAAAAGAGGAACGTGAAGGCGAGCGGAAAATACCGACTTCGTGTGAATTTCCGGCGTTCGAACGAACTTACTCTAAATAGGATTTCATCCGTCCCTTAGGTCGCAAAGGTATTCGGTTTACTCTAGCAATTCCGATATTTCACTGTGTTCGAACAGAATTCCGGATACTGGCAACTAGCCATCAAGTCAGAGGATCGACAGAAAACGGTGTTCAGGACTGAGGACACCCAATATCAATTTAGTAGGGTGTCGTTCTTCTTGTCGGGGTACCATTCACTTTCCGGCGCTGATGCTTCATGTAACGAAGACACTAAGGAATGTTACCGTGTATGGGGACAGTATCGTCGTGAACGGCAATTCGGTACCAGAGAGTGCAGCTCATTCGAAAGCCGTATTGGAGCGCATTCAGGAGGCTGATTTGCGGATCAGTGAAGCGGTAACACACCTCGCTCGAAGTTCGGTTACACTGTTTGGTCATAAAGTGGGAGAGGAAGAGAAGAAAACCAGTGCCTGAAAAATTGGCGGATACCCAAGGCTGTTCAGTTCCCAATCCAAACTGATTCCTACGGCAGATTCATGAGCAAACAGTATACTACTATCAGTGTGTCAAGAATTTTAACACGATCGCCGATCCACTGTACCACTTACTACGTCAAAACAGGTCTGAAGGGATAAGTGAAGGGTAGGAGGCCTTCGAAAACGTCAAAGCCGGAAGCTACTGAAGAAAACAATGAAACAAAATGACGGCATTGACGTAAGCTGATGATGTCAACGTCCCATCCTTGAACCGTGACCATTTTGGGACACCTCAGTCCATAACGCGCCTTTGTCTGCTGTAAATCGCAAATCCCTTCATGGAATTGAAATTAATGACTTCCCATAGAAATTTGTCCTTTTGTTTGTCTCTTGTGTGACAGGTGATATGACTAAATTTAGTGCTTGAAGTGGTACCGCCGCATTAAGCATTTCATTGTCTCTATTAGAAACTGTATGATATTTTTTTGAACCGACAGAATTTTGAGTGTCAGCTCCCATCTCTTGGGATCGCTGAAGCTTGTTTGTTAGACAAAGCGGACAATGTAGTGTACATCACGTTGAAAATATGCTTAGGGCATCTTTTGCGCACACATCCCATAGTTCACTTTCGACGATTTATTACAAAACATATCCCACCAAGTTCTGCCACAAGAGAACGACTTGGACCGGTCGTACGTAAGAGGAACACCGTTTATGCTTCACCCTCACCTTGTACATGGCACTGAAGGGGAAGGCTTCGAAAAAATCTTGCAACTCATTGAACTGTTTTTGACTTCCACAGTTGATTACTCAACCACACGATGGATTCGTGACAAAAGTGTGGAACTCCCATTAGTTAGCCCTTTATTCCCTTATCAGTTTAACCTTCTCCCACTACTCACTTGCAGTAAGCTCCAAGGCTAGCAGTTTCGTTTACCTCACTCCATCCTAGTTAGTGTTATACGAATAGATTAACAGAACAAACCGGCGTACTCGTAAAACAGGTACCCTTCTCCTCGAAACACCCGAAAATGGGTGTTTAAATTCGCGTTTTATATGGTATTCATTTAGAATAACTCACTCGTGTGACTGAAGCAGGACACTCTTTGTCTCGTCAGGCAATTTGGACAAAACATCTCATTATTTAGTAAGATCTTCCCGACTACCACTGAATGGCGACCTTCCTAACATAGAAGGAATTAATCGAAAAATTGTTCACATCGAAACGTTGGTTGATACACACCGGTTCTATAAGCGCTCTGTCTTGCTACACGACTTGTGTGTTCTATTGCTCTCTTCGTCAAGCTCCAGCAGAAACGGGGAAGTCTACTAAATGCTGCCTTATACACATTCACGAAATTAATGAGTCATCCTCAAGGTGTGGGACTCCGTTGGAAACGCTCAGTGCTGCCCCAGCTAAGAGAGTACATGTGTTCTTACAACAAATAGAATGCCGACAGGCTAAATACGTATCGCTCTGGATTTGCGACCAACGTTCAAGTCCTCTGACTTAGTGTTCGCTGTGTGGAAGGAATGTGTACTCTGGGCGCAATACGCCCAGGACCAAAGTAAACTATCATATCCAACCGTATACCTCAAATCAATGCTGGAAGTTCTGTTTACAACCGCAGACTTCGGATTCTCGTACGCCTTCTTGAGAGCACAGCTGGAATCCAGTTCAGGGCTACAGCCGTCTGTACCACTAAGCCCATGCAGGTCCAACTGAAGTGTATGAAGGCAACCATTACACAGCTTACATATTTTTTTACCACAGTTCCCATCGGTTCCATGATAAATATCAGTGACTGCACATTTGTAATAACTCGAAGAGCCTGGAGGCATAAAAGAAAGACAGCGTAAAGCTTACCACAGTCGGTCAGTTCGTCGGCAAAATCTGGGCAGTCGTACGTGCCATCACACAGCTTTGATTGATTAATGCACTTCGGTTCACTCAGTGTGCTAACCGATCCACAATGAACAGTACCTTTTGGACAACTACTGTACTTGCTGGGAGATTCTCTGAGCCCTTTATGTCTTGGCACGCATTTAGACAGAGTCGATGGACCAATTTCTTCATCTTCTCCTCCAGGACAATCTGCCCTTCCATCGCACACCCAATCCAAAGGTATTGAGAGCCCACCGGGGCATTTGAATTCATTTAACTCCAAGACCTGACCATGAGCTTGGGGTTGTCCTGAAAGTGTAGAGACTGGAAAATATATGTTTTGGTTAACACTTTGAAGACAGTTCTACAGAACATAATTTTGCGCATTGCGTGATCTCATTGAGATAATCAGATGCATCAATCAGACATATATTTACACCTGTGGAAGTTAGTATCACAGAACGATAACAGTTGAAGGCAAGTTGAAGAGGATCCTAATAAACAATGGATATTATCCACTGGATTGCCGTGCCTGTGCACTATCATCGCCAAACCAGGGTCTGCGGAAAAGTGAGTCATTTCTGGTTGTAAATACAGTATGCTGCAACTAATAAGATGTGTCAGGTTCGCCTAGAGAGAGAATTGTCGCCTGTTTTGTACACGTGCGTCTGTATGACCCGGCTGGAGATCGCGTAGCCTGCAGCTAGCTAGTGGAGATACTTGCGGAAGGTCCTCCTTGTAAGACCCAAAAATGAGCCACTATGAAAAAACGCCTTCAGAAAGTTCATTTGAGCAGGGCCACACCTTCATTTCCCGTAAACGTATACTCAGGTGAACACGAGTCTGCTTTGTCAACTTAGGGGGCGAATTAGGACCGACAAAACAGTAATCGATGAAAATACTCAATGAGTGTACAGTACTATCAGCTTAATGGTGAATAACTTACAAGTGTCCTTTCTGACCCTGTAGCTTCAGTCACTATATCCAACATTTTCCGCCAAACTGATTGGGTCTGTGGCTTTGTATACATCCGCTGAACTTCCTGACACGTAAGAATTATAATTAACAGGCATGTCCCAAGGACAAAAGTGAAGACCTGAATCTTACTGTCTAAAATCTTACGCAACTGGATACACTCATCCTGCGAACACCCATTCCTACCCATAATTCATCGGGAAGGAAATGAGTTATAAAAAATACAACGGAAATCCTCATCAAGTGTTGAATAAAATGAAATGCCAAACTATGCACAGAGGCGCTCAACTTAACTAAGCGACCATAACTTTGGTTATTAACTTTTGAAAAGTCAGTTCAGTTGCACCAAACAAGGGACTTTCATATCCGGAATACTATAACGACTAGTACACACTGTTACACTACACAGTCCTCTTACACCCCAATTTTCTGTTGTCACTTACTTGTCTGAAAAATATTGCACAAGTTCCCTTGTTATGTTTCCGTATTTAAACGCGTTGGTTTAAACAATCCCACCTCTCTTGGTGTAAGACTACTTGTAAACTGACAAAACTCTAGCTTCACTATTCTACCAAATGGAGTCCGCAGAACAGCTATATACACAGGCAACCAGTGCAAACTGCATCTCCTCTCATATCGACATGATAGTTACCAGGTCCCCTGCAAGAATCGATGTTTAATTGGGGAAAAATTTGTGGTTGTTCACTAGTAGGCACATGACTGTCGGAATTCATCAACAGGTGGTTAGACAAATAACCACACCTGGAGCCCCACTTACCTGATGGACAATTCGTTTCGTCCGATCCGTCTTTGCAATCTTCGAACCCATCACACACGTATACCGAAGCTACACATTGTTTTGTATCATCACACTGGAATTCGCCTTGGCGACAGGTTACTGTGGGCTTCTGTGGTTCCAGCTGGGAGCTGCAAACCTGGGCACGTGATACATTCAGCGTGTACTCGACAGAAAACCTACCTCTTCGGCTTGATCTGTGTGGTCTGGACAAAGTGTCCTTGAAGAACAGGCCTTTTCTACGCAGTCAGACAACGTAACACGGCATAGAAACTGCCCAGGGCACTTTTTGCGTACTGCAAAAAGTATCATTAATAGGCATCAGCGTAAAACCTACCGCAGAATTCAGGATCCTCATCCTCTCCGTTTGGACAGTTTTTCACCTGATCGCATAAACTATGCCGTTTAATACACGTTCCATCACTGCATCTCAGCTCGTTATTTCTACATGGCTCTGGAGGAAACTATGCACTTTATGGTCAGGTAAACTCACCACAATTTAACTCATCAGTGCGGTCAACGCAGTCAAAATTCCCGTCACAGCGGACCGAGAGGTCTACACATCGAGTACGGTCACAAACAAAGCCATTCGTACAACGAACTGTACGATGCAGAAAATGAGACCCGATAAAAGCACTTACATCTGTAAGACTCCGTGACCCTTTGGAGAAGCACAAGTGAGTGTACGTGGAACAGAACTTACAAAAAATATAACGTCCCCACAAGAAATATTGTCTGTATCTGATTAATATAAAGCATTGAAAATTCTGGGGGATTAAGTATGGTGATGATTCGGCGGACCTGGTGCAGTATCGGACAATTTAGTGAATAAATGCGGCTTCTTGTATTGCGTGAGCAATTAAAATTGCTAAAAAGTGGAAATACGGTCACCAAAACAAGTTTAGCGGCTCAGTAAAGACGTTGTAATGGACCGAAATGTGGATAAAGAGTGTTACAACTCATCCAACTACTACTCACAGGGTAGAGGAAATTCTCAGGCAGAAAAATAGTGTGTAAATCTGAGAATCAGTGATGGACATCCGAAACCATTCAATATTAAAAGGACATAAAACCCTCAAGATGCAGTCCTAATATGTTTAGCATACGATTTGTCACATCATTAAATACTCAAATTCTCTGATTGGTTGGACAAAACCATCTACTGCATGAACTAGATCACTATGTACAGCTGGGAACAAAGAGTGTAACTCTGGATGTTGTGGAAACCATACAAATACAATATTAACGCAAGAGAAGAAACCCTCGTACAGCCGAAAAAGCTCTGCTCTTCAAGCAAACCCCAAAGCCGAAGAACATCGCAAACGCGTATCTATATTTTTCGGATGCATGAACAAGATAGCCGTGTTAAAAACTTTTCGTACCGCTCACCAAACTGGACTTCAATGTCCTTACTACAAGTCCAACTGAACAATTAGGTAAAATTTACGTAAAAATATCATGACGGAAATATGCAAGAGATTCCTATGACGGAAGTAATTGAGCTCCTATTTTACATAGGCACAATGTGCTTGAGCAGACAACACCTAACATGTTATATGTAAATAAAATAAATCAGACACGCGATTACCATTGAGTTTAGATGAATCTTCCTGTGTTACTTAAGATGAAAGAATTTCACATCTTAAATGGCGGCTTATTAGCCGCTTTTGCAACATAAATCCAGAGTAATCAGTAGTTACTATTGTTTGGTGCGATATCCGCTTATCCACCCGGTATATATGAAGATGGTGCGCCACTGTCTCCACTAGTGACAACATTCAGTTGATTTTTTATCGTTAAAAACACCATAGGCCTATATACAAAGAAAACTTGTTAATTTGAATATGTAGTTTGAGCTAGTAATATTAAAGAGCTAAGAGACTGTAAAAGTAAGCCTAAACTTGAAACAAAAAGCAGAATGTGACTAAATGGTTCAAGGCCATTATTGCATCGTGTCCTTTGTCAAAGTCGACCTAATGTTCAGTCATTGGTTTTAAGTGAACTGCCTGCCTCAATTTTGACTATCCGAGAGAACGAGGGAGAGCCTTTCCGATGTCACTCAACCTTTTGTAAAACTCTTGGGGGAATATTGCACAAATGAACCTCTTTCATAAGGAGAAAACATAATAAATAACTGAAATTGTATCCAGTTATTGAACTCCGTTAGTAAACTCCGAGAATAACTGTACAGTTTTTTCAGTCTAACTGAGAAATATCAGCAGTGCGCGTCTCATTAATCCCTAATGGTATAGTATTATAAACTATCCCAGCGTATACTAATCAGATTATCAACCTGCTGGTTGCAGCTAAGTGGTAGTAGGCTACATTGTCAACTCAAAAGCTGGGAGTTCTTGTCACCCTAGTGAGCTCGAAGACGGACATTTCTTATGGTTCACAACAAGAATGGAACAAACGCCCAGCACTTTTCTGCTTTCTAGCTTAGTACAGCTTCATTTAATTCTATTTAATTTCTGAAGCTTCTCACTAACTACAGATTTTCTATCAAACAAATCCAAAGGACACTTTATTTTTGTAACCATCTTAATTATGGCTAACTTCAGTTCAATTTTATCTCCTTAGAAAGGCTGTTTTATGTTATTTCAGGAGAACGCGCATTCAGTTTTAATTTCAATGCAATATTCTACACAAAGCTGCCCTGTGTTTCAGCTGGTACAGGTAACCACACATTGTCCAGACGTAAAATCCTTCTAATAGGTGTGCTCCCTGAGAGCCTTTGGCAACCTTACGAGTACTGTGTTAAACCTGACAAAAAGCGGACTGAGAATACTTTCCAGTTTCGGGTATAATACTTGTGTCCAATATCGTCTATTTAAGTAAGTAGAACTCCCATGTTTGAAATTTAATGGAGCCAACCAATGAATTATCATAGAGAAGTATTTTAATTTGTTAAACAGGTGAACTATCAAACTGGCACTATTTAAATTGGGCGGTCTTCTTACCATTTGCAACTAAGATAAAAGGCTACTCAAAATTAAAGTAGCCGAAGTTCCAGTGTCAGCAGTAAGTTGCCCGGTGTTTGCTACACAAGGGGAAAAAGCACGAAACTAGTGTCAGCCACTGTATAATCGGCTTACAGCTATTGTCCGTGGATTGATCCCCAGGGCCACTTCAGGTTTGTCTTTTGTGCACGTCCTCTGCAACGTACCTTCCGTCTTTCTTTTTCTATGTTATGGACTCATTTTTGACGTTTCAACTATTTAGACCAAACTAAAAGCCGTTGAAAGTTCACTAGGTATCAAGTCTTTTGTTTTGAACCCAAGTAGATTGTCGACGAAGTCACTATATATGCCAAAATGTATAAACATTCCATCAAATGTTGAACCTTTAAAGTCAGTCGCAAAATAAACTCGTCCGGATATCTTCCACGAATGCTTGAATTGCTACCGCGTTCTCCATCACCGGTCAACTACTTACCGTCTCAGTTTGGTCCATTAGGTCCGCGTCCAACCTGCCATTGGTAGTCCTTCCTAACAATGGAGTGTGCAATAAATACACTTGCATAACTCTTCCATGCCTGACTAACCAACGCCATTTTTAAACCATCTTGAATGTTTGCAAAAATCATCAAATAATTTAAAACTTTCAAGACAAGAGGCTGTCGTTGGTTTGTTGAACCACGGAGTATTTAAAGAAACACAGTGTCCTTGTTTGAAGCATGTGCTATTAAAACGGCCACACCAGCACTACTAGCTCTGTAATCCAGATGTACACAACCCAAATTCGGGTACTCAGTTTCCATCTCATAAAATAACCGAAACATTTCCTTGTACCCAAGGAAAAAAGTCAGTACAGTGACTTGAATTTACTGTTGTCCGTGGCATCAATTTGCATTTTTGTAAATCCGACCGGAAAGCGAGTTCAAGTCCGCCAAACCATTTGTTTTTTTATAAAAGTAAGACACCTACACATGGAGTTTTCTATAGTTCATAACGTAAAAGAGGCAGAAAATTAGTAAAATAACCAATCTTCAGCAAACTCTAGCATCGTGCAAATAAGCACTACTGGCAACGCTTATGGTTGTATCAAATGCCTTGAAGCAATACTTTTTCGCTGATTTCACCCGTAATGTACGTGTGGTCAGTGCTTCTTTAAAACTAATTTTGGCGGTTTAGTATTTATATCCTTTTGCATTCTTAGTTCAAATCAAACCCTTCTAAAATGTTGTCACTATCCTGAAAACAATCACTCTTCTACGGGAAGCAACTTACTTTCTAAACGAAACATCGCTTCTATGTGAGACGCTGTCTCTTTCAAATCAGCTTTTGTGCTTAAGTCAAGGCTAATTCAGCTGATACAGGGCGATTAGACATAGTCATTGGTATTTCTATGTCTGCCGCAAAATGAGGTTGAAAACATCAAAAGCGGTCAGCGAAAAAGGCTCTTGCAATGTTTTACCCCCTTTCTAATGGTTTCTCTTTATTCTTTGTGTTTATTTTAGTCCTTCATGATACAAATGGCAATAATTAATGCGTCCATTACCTACATAAGCAACCGTTTGTTTTGAAACCGGGCTGTTTTAAGATCACATTTAATTGGGAACAAGCAAACTCAAAGGTGTTGATTACTCACGCAACCTAGCCCAAGGACTGAAAGCAACGATCAAGACGGTCAAACAGAAGTATTTCTGTGCAGAAATATAGTGCTTCGATTACAGTAACCTTAGCCTATGTACGTGCGCCTTTAGGGCCATTTTTGGAAAACTTCGCTAGACATTTGGTGATGAATGAAGTAATAAATGTAGGACACTGGTTTTATTGTAGGGTCTGCTATTCTTCACCTATAAAGAATCAGCTTTCGTTGCCACGGTGTTGCTCCGTGGACCAAATATACCATAGACGTTTCGGCTGCTAAAGCACTAGTAACAAAAGCTAGCTTTTTCAACATAAGTGAATGAATCCAGTCAGGTTTTGTCGATCATTGCATGCAAAATCTCGTATATTATGAGATCTAAATAGGTATCTTGAGTGGCGTTTACCAATAAAACAAGCCAAAAGCATATAAATCCGCCTTTTGTTGCCAGCGCAAGGCGGCTCGGGGGTTGTCCAAAGTACCTGATTAGTGAAGTGGGCACAGAGCATGCAATCAGACCGACTGTAGTTGATAAAGTAGACTCTAAATTACGCTTCAGTTTTTTGGTCATTTTACTTTTTCGCTTAGCACCATGTGAGTGAAAAAAATACAAGACATACAATAGTACAAGAGGTTTCCTATAAACTTTGAAGCACTTTTGTCATAGCTTTTGGATCTTTATTTATCCGAGTTAAGAATCGCTCCAACCATTCTTCAAATTAGGAGCAATACGTCTGATCAAAGTTCATATGCTGCTCGCATTGCCTAAAGATAAAAGGTAGCTGCCCACGTGTCTATTACTATTGACCCAGCGGTCTCCATAACCTGTCAGATAAGCAAACCAACCTCAAGCCTGAGCTCAATTAAAGGCTGCAAGTTAATCTGATGAATTACATGCACTAAAGGAGATTTTGTTGGGCACATCGTTGCGCGGGGTTTTAGACGTTCCAGGTCATGGCGTGGAAATGATTAACACAACCCTTATCCTAGGTTTAGGAGCAATTTTGTGGTACAAACTCACTTATTCGTAGACAACGTAGACTGACATTTTTGGTGGCTAAGTTGAGGTAAAAAATGTTTCATAAGCTACTGCTGGCACGTTCAACTCTCGTACAAGAACTACATCTTTCTGTCTGTGTTGTTTGGGCCCTGGTCTGCATTCTAGACGCTGCAGGTCCTGTCTCGCCCGCAGCGCGCTGTTGTCAGCATATGCAAGCAAAAAACGCAAACCGCAATAGAGAGCTTATATATAGTATATATATATATATATTATCGGTCCTAGTGCAGCTTTCTGAGGTGGCCGCTACTTAAATTGAATCACAAATAATTTGAAATGATTTCAAAGCTACAATTCTAAAGGTGATACTCAAATATCATCATTATTACTGAAGTAAGATGGAGTTAAGTTGTATACCGCCTCATGTGTGTTTAACTAAACCTTGTGCACACATCGTCCATCTTGGTCCATTGTCGACCTTTCTAGCTAATTTTTACCTAACCAGCAGCAAATTGGTCTTGGACAATCTGTTGTGAGTAAACCCATATTAGCATTAAGAAAAACAGCTCCTCTCCTTTGAAAGGTAGTGAAAATTATTACTCATTCCACTGTGGCCATTTGTAGCACCACGATTATGCCCACTGCACACGGTTCGTCAGGATATGCTTAGCTTTTAGGTTGTGAAAAAGGTTTGATAGTCGCCAGATTTTGATTTGTCGGTACCGAAATCGTCTGAAGTAACCGGATGAATACCACTAAAATTGCTATTGCCTGTACTCAAACCAAATCATGGAATGCTGAGAAATGTGTATTGTTTGGCCTGATGCTACTCTTTCAGGAAGTGGCTGAAGCAGCAAAAACAAACACCCCTCCACTAAGATCTTGAACAGTCGGGCTTGCATCCGTAATTTCGGTACATAATTCTTTAATTAAATCTCATAAGAGACACCAAATAGGATGAATAACTCTTGTGAATTCCCCGTATCTGTTTACCGTTATAATTCAATAAATACATAAACTATATCAGAGCGTCGAGGCCTTCAATCAATATAAAATAACTCACGGGTTAAGGACTTTGTCTGGATAATCATTCTTTAGCGACATGTGGTTTTTGCTCATTAGCTCTGCATGCAAAACGTTTGTTCCTTTCTACCGCTATAGTCCCCAGTTCGTCCGTTTATTTTTAATCAAACCAAGCCCATGCAGTTCCCATTAATTCCGGATATTTATCAGAGTACTCTTTTACTAGGTTTGAAGATCTTCATTTTCGGGACGTGAAGCTAAAACATTCCACTTGTTTGCGCACATTTGGCTCTACCTGACTAATTGTTCTGTTTTAAAAACTGTCTACTAAAGTTTCCCGTAGTTTGTTTGCTACACTTGATATATAGAGAATGATTATTCCTAGTTGGCTTTCGTAGCTACCAAATCCCGTGGGTGGCCACTCATTGCCTGTGACTCATTCATTCAAATCCTGCCATTGAATATTAAGTCTATTACACAGTAACGTTCACGTTTTATTAATTTAATGGGTTTGGTCACTTAGTGTTCATTATTTTCTGCCTCATTTCGAAGAGCAGCAAGTTATTATGTACAGTGGGCGCTGACCGCTTCTGGGTATCTTCTGCATAAAACTGGATGCATTAAAGCCAAAAAAGAGCAAGAAGCGGAGCTTGTGTTTTTAAAAACCCGAAATCCGCTTCCGTCGATGCTGTTTGGATTCATTAAGAAGATGGCGAGCGAGACAGTAGCCTCCTATTCTCTTTGGATCCCAGAAGCTAGCAGTACACTAACTGATCATCAGTTCATCTTTGCCGACGTGACTTCATATTCTGACCCCATCGTGACACGTACATGAGTCTTCCAATACTCTGTTCAGTCCGTCTAACAGTACTCCTCAAACAACAATATAATATCCGGCTTCTACCCAAATACGTATGTGATCTGATCCTATTCATTGACCGGACGTAGACGCTTCCAAGCAGTAATCTCCGGACTAGAACCTCATTCTGATTGACGAAAAGTGCGTCCATTTGTCAGTTTTAGAAGTCACAGTGAACGCCTTGGTTGTGCATGGAGGGAGGCGAACCAGAAGAAACTACGAGGGTAGATAACAAAAAGGATTTAGTTATCCGGCCTCCTCCGCTCAAATACATATCCAAGCTGATTCCACTCGTTTATCAGTCTTCAGACATTAGCCAAACATATTTGTTACTACACATCAAGTAAGTTCACTTTCCGGTGTTCTTTACGATGCATGTTAACCGATTGCTAAGACACCTGCCTGCGAGTAGCAACTTCGAGTGGCCCACAGTAGATGTGGGGGATCGATCTACACAAGGTTCCATGTTTATTCTGCATGGCAGCCTCATAAGACCAAGTGGCTACTATAACTCTCTCAATGCAGCTCTGATAAGTAAACGTCGGGCTTTGTCACCAATCAGGCAACCCAGCAGTAGTCCGAATACTTTGAAGGGAAGAAGGGCTTCTTCAGAATCGGAACATAATGGCGATCGATTTATGAGATCTGTCACCATGTTAAACCTCTCCAGGTCGCCCCGCTGCCCTCATCTAGGTGACTCCTAGTAGGCTTCAGTAACACCGTCAGTCAGTAGACGTGCGTAATTATATATAGAAATACATGCTATAGTCCCTCTGAGGTACTATTCCACTGGCGCACATCATCCGCAAGCAGCTATGTGCATTTTGTAAAGTAGCTAAAACGGTCACAGCATCATCATTAATTCATCAGACAACTCACCGACCGCCCCCAGGACACTGGTTTTCATCGCTGTTCTTCCCACATCTTTACCGAACAAAACGTTTAAAGAGTTTCTGGTATACGCTCAAGATCGACACTGGCAAGCATCCATTTAGCCACCCTAAATGACCATGTAGGCGGTTTGTGTGCCTTTTCGGTCATCACACGAGGCAGTGGAAAGAGGGATTCGCCAAGCATTTTACCATACCAGAGATGCATGGCTTCATTTAGTCTGACAAACTGCTGTAACTGAAACACGAAGATACCGGCTTTGAATACGCAAGCCAGATCACTGCACTTTCTAATGGTGTTATCGACACAGCACCTTTCTAATCCACATCGAGATCACCATCTGGTTTTTATAACGTTGCCGAAAACCTTGCGGTGGTATCATCCTTGAAAATGTTCATTTTACTGGAAAATTAAAACAAAGCCACCTTGCGGTCGGTGTGACATGCAGAACGCAGCACAGCACAGAATGCCTAGGTCAATCGTAAAGCTCTCAACTACACAGGATTAACTTGGCATTTTCGGATGCCCAAGAAAAGCTCCGATCCTTGAAGTTCCATGGCCAAATAGAACGTTTCTAAGCATTACGCCAATAAGGACGGAAAGCGGTGGGAGGGGGCAAAATGCTGCACAATCGCATGCACCGATAATGATTCGTACGCAGTGTCCCCCTGAGAGTTGTGAAACCTGAGGGCACTCCCTTGATTAGGAGGCTAGGAGCGAACCTCCACTCTGCACCTGGCCGCGACCATGCCATGTTGGAAACACCGGTTCTCGTCTGATCACCGAGGTTAAGCAAAATTGGACCCGTTTAGTACTTGCATGGGTGACCGGCTGGGAATACCGGGTGTCGCGGCCGTTCCTCCTTTGGGCTCCGTCTTGGGACCACTCCTGTTTCTGATCTACGTCAACGACCACCCAGACGTTCTTGCGACCCCATGTCCACTTTTGGTGGACGACTTGAAACCCTCGAGTTCCAATTCCAGTGCTCTGCAAATGGATGTAGACGCTGCAATGCAGTGGTCGTTGGACTAGCACCTTCCTCTGAATGACGAAAAGTGCGTCCATGTGTCGTTTGGAGGGGACTCAGCGAATGCCTTTGTTATGCATGGAGAAAACGGACCAGAAAATATCATGGGGATACATGCCAAAAAGGATTTGGGCATCCGCGTCTCCTCAGACTTGTCCTTCTCACTACACCATGAGAAATCGACCCATAAGGCATTCACCATTTTACGGATAATCCGACCACACGTCCCGCTGCTCCACAAACTCGAGTCTTACGGGATTCAAGGGAAAATCCTTCGCTGGATCAAGGCGTTCCTATCAGACAAATCATTCCGAGTGAGAATAGGCTCGACCTATTCCTCACCAGCGCCGGGGTCCATTGGAGTTCCTCAAGGCTTCGTCTTGGGGCCACTCCTGTTTCTGATCTACGTCAACGACCTCAGAGATGTTCTTGCGAGTCCATGTTTACCTTCTGCAGACGACTTGAAATCCTGGAGTTCTAATGCAATTGCCCTCCAAAAGGATGTAAGCGCTGCAAACCATTGGTCGTTGGACTTAGAATGGTGAAAAGTGCGTCCATGTGTTGTTTGGAGGGGACTCAGCGAATGCCTCTGTATTCCATGGTGAAAAGAGACCAGAGAACATCATGAGGATAGATGCCATAAAGGATTTGGGCATCCGCGTCTCCTCAAACTTGTCCTTCTCACTACACCATGAGAAATCGACCCATAAGGCGTTCACCATTTTACGGATCATCCGACGCACCTTCTCCCGTATTACTCGCATGGACTTCCAAGTACTCTATGGGGCCTACGTCAGTCTGCTCCTGGAGTACGCCAACCAAGCTGTCTACACAGGACGTACGAAAGACGTCACCTTCATTGAGCGTGTCCAGTGAGCCGCCACGAGAGTGGTTGCCGGCCTCAAACCCGTGGACTACGAAACGCGTCTCGCGATGCTCGATCTCCTCCCCTTGGAGTACCGTCGCATCCGAGGGGACCTAATTCTTACCTACGCCCTGTTCGAACAACGCTTGGCAAACAGGTTTTTTGCCGTCGATCCGGAAAAAACCCGGCGGGGACATAGTAAGAAAATTTTCTAGCTCAAAGCACACACGTTCATTAGACAAAGTGTTTTCTCATTTCGGGTAGTAGCTGCGTGGAATGACCTTCCTCCGACGGTTGTACACGCTCCTTCTAGAACCCATTTTAAAGCCTTATTAGACATTTACTTATGCGAATCCTCGCGCTGGCAAGCATACTGCCCCGCGCTGAGAACATAAAGAGCAGTGCTACACCTTTTTTCACTTGTGCTTTCAGGTGAACGACAGTCGCTGACTGAGAAGAACAAAATCGATCCGGGAATCTTGGGCAATAGCCTCGATCCTGTGTATCAATCCGTGAATACGTGAATCACACCAAGCACCGCGTAATGTATAGTGCCTTAAGTTTTATGTCAAACACAGCGTAGTAGAATAGGATGTTTCATTGGGATTTTAAGTTACCGTGGGTCAACTTCCAAAAACTTCACTGAAAAGTTTACCCCCTCGATTTGTAGACAGCACCAATGGTTCAGAAGATCAACGGGGTCTAAGGCAGCTTTCAAATGGTCATAGCAATGATAATGATAGGTTTAATTCCCAACTTGTAGGAAACAAGCCAACCGTCACATGATCGAGTGAGTACAACCTGAACGCGACGGACAACAACACAATGGGAGAGAAAATACTACTGGCAACATACACTTATTAGGTGAAATGTCTCCTTGGTTGTGGAAAACGAACAAACTAGTAAATTGTGCATGAGCTACGACTAGTCCGATTATGAACCGAACTAAAAGGGGAAATCGTTGCTGGTCATTAGTGATGTAGGATGCTTAACTAAATGGCCAGGGTCATAAAAAGCAAAACAAAGATGCGGATAGAATGGTTGGAAGTGGAGGAAACAGTAAGTTTCCTCTCACTGGTATCGCTGTCTCAGAAAAGTCAACTGTGAAGAAAATTCTCGACGGGACGATTGCGCTAATGCACACGATCGAAGTAACACCGTTATCGAAATCGGTGGATATGCATAAATGACAGATTTAAATTGCGACAAGAATCCGTGTTGGTTAAATCCGGGAGAAAGGTTCACCTGGTTGAAAAGAACTAGACCGAGAGGCATTTGAAGCTGGTTGCAATGTTCGTTTGTAGTTTCAAGCATAGGCTCAAGTGTATGAAAGTTGGAGGCCGATGGTTGGAAGAAAATATTTGCTGGAATAACATCTAAACGGGTATGGCAGTGCTGCAACATCATTGCACTGACATACTTCAGTTTATGGACGGCTCTGTGACAGACTTCGCTGTTGAGGGATGTGGACAAAACATGTTTATTCTGTGGTGGCTGCATTTGGGTGAAGACTGACAGATAGATTCGGGTCAATTTAGGGTCACGGATAATTTTGGGGCCATATGAGTTAAGACCTGGTACCAGCCAGATTGAATAAGTAACGTTTGTACGAGGCACTTGGAGCAACTATGGCTTAAGTTTGAAGCTTCAAAAGCGTTGATTCCTTTCTTGTATTTTTTCTGGCACCACTCGATTCCCTCTTTCTGTTATTTTGGTTTTGCGCTTATACCACTGTTAGGCAGAGTTGCACACGAATCTCACTTTACCGCTCGCAGTCATGTGCTGCTACGGACGAGAAACCCACCACACCCAAGATTGTCCAAAATTTCGGGCGCTTTCCGATCCGGTATCAGGCCCAGATCTGATTGGTCGAAAGTCTGGACCTAACAACCAAATGTGCCCCAGCACTGGCCGAATGCCGGTTGCCAAGGGCGTATCCAGTGCGCGTCAGAATTTCCAGAAATTATTGTCGCCTACGCTCTATAGGTGAAGCGCTGTACAAGTGTTCCTGACTTCGTTTAGGGCGCTAATATACCTTATGCACCTTTGGTGGTTGTTTTGACGTAAGCGCTGTCTTAGGAGGCTCAGACCGAGAGGTAAGCTGAGAAAAATACCGTTGCTATAACCACCTTTCTGGCTTTGACCTCGTCATTGGACGTGTTGTTAAACTCACCACGTGGTTTTCCCATCTTGTAAACACGTGGCTTGGAGCCGGTGTGGACTCCAAGATCCTTTAGGAATTAGCAGTTCCCAAACCGGTGTATAGATGTCGGCATAGTCCCTCGATGTGAAATTTTTATATTTTT